TTAAGTAGTTACAATCCGAGTATACGTAAACGTCTTTCATTATATTTACGAAGTTCTACTTATTAAGTAGTTACAATCCGAGTACCGCACAGAAGAATTAAAAACAAAAAACACAATACTTGTTAGTTGATAATTCCAAATTAATTTGGTGTAACATCATGTTATATTCCATATTAATCCAAACTCAACAAGTTATCATCTGTCTAAGAATTTCTTCGCTCAAAGACATAAAAAATCAAATGTCCAATAAACCTAAAATTTCATATGTGATTTTAAAATTGTTTCTGATGTCAGTAGTTCAAATTTCAGCAAAAAGAAATACTGAAAAAAATCACTAAGCTAGTCTTCTCGTATAACATGATTTCGTCGTTAGAAGCCTTCAGTGGCTAAAAGGTAAGTTTGAGGGCTTACAACGCTAAAAATAGCCCATTTTGCAGCTTTACTCTTAAGAATGATCAAACAGACAATTGTAGATAGAAGGGTGTTGTTGTATATTATTACTTTCTGATCAACATGCTTCCCTGTTTATGACACTGGTACAATTTTTAAACAATAAACACTCGAACTGCTTACATTAAATACAGAAGTGAGATTGTGTTTTGTTTCGTTTTACAGGAAAACCAAAATACCTTTTACTACCCCCTACCTCCAAGCTAAAACACTCACAGGACTTAGCGGAGGAACCAGGTATGAAGTATCAGTCTCGGCTGTTTACAGCGGAAGTCAACGGGTATCTGCGCCAAAGAAAATAGTAAACACTAAAACTACTAGCATGGGAAACTTTGCTATGGATGATGGAGACAAGTATGAAGTGAAGCCCAAGGAACTAGGTACCAATTATTTGAATCAATACGTGTGATTGCCAGCTGGAACTTCGATATTATTGTCAAAATAATAATAATAATAAATATTCAACGTTTCGACTTATTCAAGGGCTAAATTTAGGTGGAAGCTGAAAATACTGGGTAAAAATAAAGTTCGTAGGCTTAATGTTTAATTTCCAGGTACCAAGCTTCAGTTTTATGTCTGTTATAACGACTTTCAGCTAAAGTATGACAACATCTGAACATACAAACAAACGATTAAAATCAACGTAAAAAAGACCTAAGTGGTCGACGTTTCGGTAAGAAAGCAAGCTGTTTTTCGAAACCTTGATGAAAATCGTTAACTACATATTTTTTCTTTATAGTGATTTTAATCAATTCTTTGTATTAACAATTATATATAGTTATATATAAAGTTATTGTATTTATAGAATAATATCCAAATATTCATATAACATACACTTAATGAAACATGGATAACGACACGATATCAGTTCCTATGCCCAACACAAAATCTATTCTTACCATCACAAGAAAACATTAGCATATGTACTTTCAAATTGGAAATTGTCCCCCGATGAGACAGCGGTAACTTTACGGACTTACAACGCTAAAATCATGGATTCGATTCCCCTTCGGTAGACATAGCAGATAGCCCAATGTGGCCTTGCTCTAAAACAAACAAACAAAAATGGGAATTTTTTCCAACCGGAAAAAACAAGATTAATAGTTCAACATTCGAAAGGGTTTTGTTATCTGTTGTTTTTAATCACGTATGTCCACATACAGATATAAACTCTAGTCATTCGAGTATTTCACAAGTCTGACATTTATCGTTCCTAGGATATCTATCAGCAGAAATATCTAAATTTTATTCGTGAAATGAAAGTCCTGAGTAATCATTGGCCCAAGTTTGGGTTTTTTTATATATCTATAAACTTGAAAAAATCAAGAACGTACTTCATAGGTCCGACTGTAATAATGCTATATTGGATACTGTGTCCACGTCCCTTATAACGTTAAAGCTTGTAAAAGACAGATTACTTCAAGGCATAATAAGGAATTATATGATTAAGGATTCTGTATTTGACAAAGCGGCCTCGGATAAGCTAGGGCTCTCAGAATAAGTTAAGGCATTAGTTCGAGGCTTTCAAATGAACAACGTATTCCATTTATTACATACAAGTGCCAAAGCTCTGCAAGATATACTTAAGAGGATTACATATTTGAATGGAGCTATATATAAAAGAACACATTCGTTTTAAACAATTTGCTATCTTTTTTAATGTATGCCTTCTATACAACAGACAATAGAACGTTCAAATTTATTCCGTTAATTATATTCTCTTCCTTGGAGCTCTTTAAGAATAAATTGGGTATTTTTTAAGAAAGAAATTAGCTCAAAAATTAAATATCCCTCTGGCTTACATTGATTTTTTTCACTGCGAACATAAATACCCTGAGTGATATCAATTACCATAATCATGCATACACTATTTTGTGTTTTCAAGCCAAACCGCACAAAATTAGTAACTCTTTTTTTTTTTTCTCTCTCCCAATGTTTGAAAATATTATTTTGTTTGGCGAGTACTCCTTTTTGGAAGAGTAAACTCAACTGTTTGTTATCATGGATACACTTTACAATGAAGTGCTATTATTGATAATGTCCTGACTGCTTGTTATCATGGATACACTTTACAATGAAGTGCTATTATTGATAATGTCCTGACTGCTTGTTATCATGGATACACTTTACAATGAAGTGCTATTATTGATAATGTCCTGACTGCTTGTTATCATGGATACACTTTACAATGAAGTGCTATTATTGATAATGTCCTGACTGCTTGTTATCATGGATACACTTTTCAATGAAGTACTATTATTGAGAATGTCCTGACTGCTTGTTATCATGGATACACTTTACAATGAAGTGCTATTATTGAGAATCTCCTGACTGCTTGTTATCATGGATACACTTTACAATGAAGTGCTATTATTGAGAATGTCCTGATTGTTTGTTATCATGGATAAACTTTACAATGGAGTGCTATTATTGAGAATGTCCTGACTGCTTGTTATCATGGATACACTTTACAATGAAGTGTTATTCTTGAGAAGGGTATATTCAAACTTGAATAGGCAGAAAATACATGAGCACTTCTGTATATAATATACAATTGACACTGCGTTTTGAAAGGTTATAATGTTGATAGTCTCACTCAATTCTACTTATTGGATGTAAAAATGTAAGGTGTCAATTACATTGTTAGTGACAACAGTCAAAACTGGCAAAGTTATTTGAAGTGGTAGGAGTAAAGTTTACGAAATATAACTACAATATAGACAATATTAAATGATACGTAAAACATAATACAATTATTTACGTAGACAGGTTCAAATATATCATTCCGAGCTATGACCATCATAACTACAGGTTTTTATTGTTATCGTACTAACATGTAGTTGTCATTACCATCCTAACCACAAGTATTTCAGTGTTATCATACTAGTACGTAGTTGCCATGACCATCCTAACCACAGGTATTTCAGTGTTATCGTATTAGTATGTAGTTGTCATGACCACCAGAACCACAGGTATTTTAGTGATATCGTACTAGTATGTAGTTGTCATGACCATCCTAGCCACAGGTATTTCAATGTTATCATACTAGTATGAAGTTGTCATGACCATCCTAACCACAGGTATTTCAGTGTTATCGTACTAGTATGTAGTTGTCATGACCACCAGAACCACAGGTATTTCAGTGTTATCGTACTAGTATGTAGTTGTCATGACCACCAGAACCACAGGTATTTCAGTGTTATCATACTAGTACGTAGTTGTCATGACCATCCTAACTACAGGTTTTTATTGTTATCGTACTAGTACGTAGTTGCCATGACCATCCTAACCACATTTATTTCAGTGCTATCGTACTAGTGTGTAGTTGTCATGACCACCAGAACAACAGGTATTTCAGTGTTATCGTACTATTATGTAGTTGTCATAACCACCAGAACCACAGGTTTTCTGTGTTATCATACTAGTATGTAGTTGTCATGACCGCCAGAACACATTTATTTCAGTGCTAATGTACTAGTGTGTAGTTGTCATAACCACCAGAACCACAGGTTTTCTGTGTTATCATACTAGTATGTAGTTGTCATGACCGCCAGAACACATTTAGTTCAGTGCTAATGTACTAGTGTGTAGTTGCCATAACCACCAGAACCACAGGTTTTCTGTGTTATCATACTAGTATGTAGTTAATACAGAATAGTTTCTTATAGTAGCAAATGAAATTGTTGTACAGTCACTGCAATGAATAAAATATATGCAACTTTAACAGCACTGGGAATAAAAGCACAAAAGCATTTACAGCATACAACAATGTTGTAATGTTTCAAAATCACTCAACTTGCAAATACTCGCGTTCTAAAATTGTGTTAATAAAAATTACAATCTTTTAACACATCGCTCATCTAAGGAATGCTTTGGGGGCAGTTTCTGTTTTTATTCCTTTTTCAGAATATTTTATATACGTATAAATTGTTTTAAGTTATATTTTGAATAATTAACTCCATGTCCGTTGATATCGATGGACTAAGGATACATTTTCGTATTTTTTGAGAGCTGAATATGATCAACGCTGCGTGATGGAGGAACGTGTTCTACTCAGTGCTCCTCTAGTTCATCTGTTTGTTTGCTTGCTAGAATCATGACGTCATGATAACGCCAGGTCTAGAAATTTCATGAAAGTTAAGGCCTCGGTAGAGCCTAGAAGCTACCTTTACTATGTAGAAATAAGAGTACATTATAAATACCAGACCGAGATAATTAGTAGTTATTCAGTAAATTACCTGAGTTATTCAGTTTAGTGTCATTTAGGGAGTTAGGCAGTGAAAGTTAATGCACCTGTTTATCTGTAATTCAGTTAGTAAGCGTGTTTGTTATCGGAGTTAGGCAGTGAAAGTTAATGCACCTGTTTATCTGTAATTCAGTTAGTAAGCGTGTTTGTTCCGATAACAAACACGCTTACTAACTGAATTACAGATAAACAGGTGCATTAACTTTCACTGCCTAACTCCGATAATTTAGACAGTGAAAGTTAATGCATCTATTTATCTGTAATTCAGTTAGTAAGCGTGTTTGTTATCGGAGTTAGACAGTGAAAGTTAATGCATCTATTTATCTGTAATTCAGTTAGTAAGCGTGTTTGTTATCGGAGTTAGACAGTGAAAGTTAATGCATATATTTATCTGTAATTCAGTTAGTAAGCGTGTTTGTTTTCTCTCAGTTAGCGAGGAAATTCTGCAAATTAGGCAAACTTTAGTTTCACAGTTTTTGTTGAAATGTTGTTTGTGAAGCTAGACCTACAGTGAACGTAGCCTGTAACGTTTGTTTGTTTGGAATTAGCACAAAACTACACAATGGGCTATCTGTGCTCTACCCACCACGGGTATCGAAACCCGGTTTCTAGCGTTGTAAGTCCGCAGACATACTACTGTGCCACTGGGGAGCAGCCTGTAACGAACGTTATTGAAAAAATAAATCAATTCGTTATCGTTACCTCGATTGGACTTCGCATTATACCCCTAAGTCTTCATTATACCCCTATTAATCAAAGTGCATATAAAAACAACAACAGCGTAAGTCAAAATAGTATAATTTTGTTTTCCGGCAAACTTAATTTTTATATGATTCCAAACTAAATCCTAACTATTGGATTAGAACGAAACACACAGAAAGATATTTTGTTCTCTTAAAACTATAGCTGCCATCTGTTACGTACTTCACGAAACTATTTCTTATTCCATTTCAGATAAGAACGAGACGTGTTTCGTTCCTTATTTTACATCATTTTTTTTAACCTTAGTTCCTTCCATTGTCTGTCATTAACCGTATTGCTTTCATGGGTTTAACATAACAAACACTCCCAGTCCGGATTGAATTTCACATTTTACTTGTGTCAGTAACATAAGAACGACAAATTTTTGCAAATTCTGAACCGTTATTATTATTATTGTTTTAAGTTTCCAAGTTGATATTTATAAGAAAAAGCTGATTGGTCGTCTCTGTTCCAGACAAAATGGCATCGTGCCTACTTTTAATACATTGCAGGATTTATCCTCCTTGTAACGTTTTACTTATGTCCTGAGGACAATTAATCAAACACCACCAGAAGTGTTCATTGTTTTAGAGCTGTTCAGGTGGCAACCGCTGGTGTACCTCAGATGTATCTAGGTAACAGATCTCTACATTCCTCATTTGTATCTTAGAAACAACTCTGTATGGACGAAGGTAAAAAATTATATACTTTTTTCTTTTCCAGAATGTAACTGCAGCGAACCAGGTATGGTAGCATGTACAAGGATGCACGAGACCATTGAATGCACGTGCTACCCTGGTTACACCGGAAGGTGGTGTGAGAGTTGTTCATCGGGACACTATCGTGACGAGAAGGAGTGCAAACCGTGCCCTTGTGTCAATGTTACGTCATCGGGAAATTGCACATTAGGTAAATCTGGTTATTCTACTCCTTTCGTTATTATTATTATTATTACCGACTTGTTGAAGAAATGTGCAAACGGAATTAACTAAAGTGTTTCTCCTCTATGACGCTCGGTACCAATAAAAGATTACAACTACAGTACACGAGAAGTCAATTATCATATTACAAATGTTTAACACTACCCCTTTATAATTCTTTATTCTTACACCAGAGTTTCTGCTAGTATCTAAGTTATGTTGTATATACAAAAAAAAAGATTATTTATATTACTGACATGTTCTTAATTTAAACTTCATGCCGGAGATGATAAATATCTTCTCTGGTGTAGAAATCCAAATCACTAGGTGTCTACTTTCTACCGTGGGGTCTTTGCCTAGTGATTAGCATGTCGGACTGCGAATTGAAGGTGTGGGATTTGAGATATGTTGCCACTGAACGCTCTCAGCACTTTCAGTCAACCCCTTTATTCGAATCAGTTAGCCGAATAAAGCACTTGTGGCGGCTGGTGCTACTGAATGGCTGTTTTGTCTCCCCCTAGTGGTTCAAAATTAGGGACGGCTATACATGAACGTAAGGGTCTTAGACTTGAAGTTTGCATGAAGTGCGTTTGGGGTTGAAAATATCAAATTCTAGCTGTTAGGAGCCATTTTTGTATGCTTTCAAAGCGTATAAATTAAATAAATTCAGGACTAGAGGTAATAAATACGGTATGTGTTATTTGTTGTCGCCCCATTAATACTTCGCCTATTACTGAATTAGATATTATAAAAAAAGTATTTTAATCTCCATGGAAATAAAACTAAAAAAGGTTCTTATTACTGTGCAATTTCCAACAGATAATTTTATAATGTGCTGCTGTCATGAATGGTAAGCAGTGTTTCTCAGAACATATTCCATTCATATTTTCCGAGCCATACGATTGAATCATACTTTCTCCAGTTTAGATGAAGTAATTATGAGAAACGTAAATCGTAAGGATCAAATATTATTGTCCAGATAAGAGCCATATGATTGAATCATACTTCTCCAGTTTAGATGAAGCAGCCATGAAAACGTAAATCGTAAGGATCAAACATTCTTGTCCAGATAAGAGCCTCATGAGTAAAATATCTCAAGCTATTATATTTCAGGAGTTAAATATAAGATTGAAAATCGCGACTTAATTATTATTTCACATAAAGCTATTTCCTAAAAATCTCGATAGAAAACCGTTTTAAAGCTCAAATTACTCCATCCTTAATTCCTAAAAAGTAAAACACGTTTAACATCAAATTGCTAATAAGTGTGCTTCGTTTAGGACATGAGTCAAAAATTTCATACCATATATGTTTATCTAGCTTTCATTGAGAACCATATATAAAGATATATATACGTGTTGTCTTCTCTCTATACATATATATTGCCTCACAACTATATATGTTGTCTTATAACTATACATATCATCCTATCGATATGTTTCAAATTATCTAATAATATTAGACATCATATAAAACATATATATACAAGATGTAACAGGACAATTGTAATTACTAAACAGGTGAACTGACAATAATAAATGAATAACTGACAATAATAACTATACATATATATATACAATATACAATAATAAATTGATATTATCAGAGTGGAATTTCAGTTTCTTTTGGATCAAATAATTAACTATTTCAACCAATTGATACGTACAAGCAATACTGACTTTTTCTTTTTTTACAAACTCGACCTCCAAACTACGTTTAACTGATATAATCCCAAATTGTATAAAACAAGAATCAAGTGAAGTCTAACTTACCATATTTGTAACTGGTAGTAAATTCCATAACTCAAATATTTCCATTATATTTGACCTAAAAGTTATTTATATTTCGACGCGGAGATAATTAACCTGAGTAACCCTGACGATAATGAACTTTAAGAGTTCCCAGAAATAAAATACAAGAAAATTACCAATGATATGTATACATTACTTTTGTCAAGTATAAATATAACCTATGAAATGTATACATTACTTTTGTCTAGCATATAAATTACCTATGATATGTATACATTACTTTTGTCTGGTATAAAAATTACCTATGAAATGTATACATTACTTTTGTCTGGTATAAAAATTACTTATGAAATGTATACATTACTTTTGTCTGGTATAAAGATTACCTAGATTATTTAATCAGTCCATAGAGTTTGTCTGTTTGGTTTGTTGGTTTGTTGTTCTTTTTCTGAGAAGAAGAATGTATAATAACATTTCAACCTGCCAACCTGGTGAGCTGTGGTATTGAGCGAAACGCACCATTGGCAATGGAGGTGAAGCATATGATATGTTTACATACCATTATGCACGCTTCTTCTTCTTGAAAAACCCTAAGGAACCGAATGAAGAGTGTAGTATTAAAATGCAATAATCGAAATGCTATTGTCTTATGATAAACGTAATTGATTAAAACCAGGCTTCGCCACAGATCTTGTCGGCAGAGAGATGTCTCAATAAAGTACAATGTCCAGTGCAAGGTTTATGCCAGATTGCCAGAAAACATCTGTTCCAAGTTCTCTTCTTGTCCTTGTGAGATGGTTGTGAATTGACCTTACATCAAAGATCAAACAGTTAATGCAGTGAATCAACCAGTCCTCTCTGTTGCTAAGTTGAAAAACTTTAATAGTATTAAACAACAAAGGATAGCTTAGACTTACCAAATGTACAACATACCAGAAATAAAAAATACTCTGACACCTATCTTGTAGACATGATGCTCCATGACCTGAAACTCAAAAAGGGTTTTGTTGGTAAGTTGTTTGGCATGAATATATACGTGTCTTCCAACCTTGCCAGTGTTGTTTGTGAACAGTTCCAAGATGGAACCTTTAAGATGGTTGCTATAAGTAATACAGTCTTGACCAAAATCTTGGCATATTTTGTAACATGAGATTATTATTATTAAGATAGAACACAAATATACTTAACACTGTCAAACTGAGAAACGCATGTTATATTAAACATCTACATATGTAATTTGTATAATGAGACAGGTTGATATCATGAACGACTTATTAAACCAGCAAACAATTTTATCAGACACCTATAGAAAGATGTGTAATTCAGCATTTCACCTATCATAAAAAAACCTTACCAAATCAGAAACCATGATAAAATGTAACATCAAATTATTATAAATATCGTATGTACCTTTATATCAGTTCTTATTAAACACTCA